TGGATGAGGAGATATTGTATCCAGAAGGAGTGTGAGTGGTCTGAATGTCAACAGATGCTGCTTCCTTCCCTTTGCCTCTCTGTTGATCTTCAGATGGACTGTTTTCACAATCATCTCCTTCAAGAGGAAAATCTGCAGAAGTTGCTGCTGAAGGAGCTGCTTCTTGTGCATTCTGATTGTTTTTCTCCTATATGTCAGGCAGATTAAAGTCATTGTCCTCAACATCTTAAGCATTTTCTTCCTCAAACTCCTCCTGCATTTCAGCTAGATTAATGCTATTTTCCTCATCATTATGAGCATTTTCTTGCTCAAACTCCTCTTGCATTACAGCTTCATGATCATGTTCAAACTCCCCCTGTCTCCTAGAGGGTTCTTCCTCAGCTTCTTTCTTTGCAGTATCCATTGTCTCTTGCTGATTTTCCATGACTATTTTGTTGATGATGTCACTAAGTGAATTTATCAAGTGTTCCTCCTCTTCTCGCAGTCTTTGAATTTCAAGTCGAGTGGCAGCATGTCTGTCTGCACGGGCTTTATGCTTGGCATCTTGAATAATTAGCCATTGCATAAACCTTGACTCCTCAAGGCTTCTTTCATCAGCTTGAGATTATTCAGCAGATTTTTCATTAGATATCTACATCTCATTAGAATCACTGGCCACGGCTTGAGTTCTTTTGACTGGTCTGTCAATTCTGGAGGCTGTTGGCTGCACTTTCCTCTTCCTTTCTAAGGATTCAATTGATTCCTCTTCATCAGAATCATGAAAAATGTTAACAGAGCCCTTGTTCTGTGTACTCATCACTTCTGCAGGAATAATCTTACCATTCTTATCCTTCCAATTTTCACCATCAAATCTATATCCCACCTTAGTCATCATGAGTTCTCCAACAATCATAGTTTAAAGAGGTTTACCTTTGAGTTTTGCAGGAATAGAGATTTTCAAATACTCAAAGATAGCGGTGATCAAAGCTCCATAAGGGAGTTGACCTTTACTCTTCTTGACAGTTCTATACATTTGAAGAAGAATCATATGGGACAGAGAAATGGAAAAGGTGGTTTGAATTGCCCAAATCAACTTGGCCTCATATCGAGAGACATCAGTTTTGGAAGATCCTTTGGGTCTGAGACAATTGATGATGATTTTGTGCAGGACAATGAAATTTAGAGGAAAAAGAGTGAGATACATGAGATGTAGAGCCTCTGATGAAAAATGAGTCACCAGACAGAGATCGATATGCCAAATCTGAAATGATAAGAATAAAAGAAAATTCTGTATGCTTTACTCCTAAAATGGCAGAGAGATCAAAGGCTGATAACTTGTAATCTTGTTGAAAAATAGAGAACTCAATTTTAGCAGGAGAAATGAATGACATATTTGAATAAAAGTAAGCCGTGAGTTCTGGGTAGACTTTGTGAGAGAGAGAGCACATTCTTTGAAAATCAAGACTTTCAATCAGACTCTGAATTTTGATATTGAAATTTTCAAAGAAGTTGAAGTCTACAACTATGTTATTCATTATTCCTCTGGCTAGAAGAGAATTGTAAGCAACTTCATGAGTTTTGTTTCTAAACAAGCTGTCACTTTTCTTGTCATCAGGAGGAATTCCAGAAATGGGCACAAACTCAGCAAATAGTTTCTCATCATTATCCTCCTTCATAGTATCAATGTTTTTGCTTTTCTCTAAAGTCCGCAGTTCCTCAACGAATTCATCTCTTTCAACATTCGAATGTTCTCCTACTTTCTCTTTTTCTTTTCGAGAAACTCCTTTCTTTATAGTCACAGGGGTTTCCTGAACATTAGAGGTTTCTCTAAGAACTATCCCCTTTTCAGCAACAGGTGATCTTCCAAGCCTTATACCCTTCTCATATTCCTCCATAACTTCATGTTCAGAAAGAGAACCTAAGGTTTTACACATAGCATTTACAGTACTCTGGTCACTCCGATTTTCTCAAAGTACTCTAATGGTTTTTATCAGTCATCTTGCCATAACAAAACGATCACGTTCTTGAACAGGGATACGTGGAGATTTATTACCTGCAGACAACTCTTGCTCAAAGCCCGAGTCAGAGATATCGATTTTCTCTGCTTCTCCATCTTTGTCTGCTCTGGTGAACATTCCCGCGATTCTGTTCGATCATCTAGAACTCTTGATTCCTTTCTTGGATTCAGTGGTCGATTTCGGTGCCATTGAAGAGATTTTTGAGTTTCCGAAGAGAAAGATGATATCTTTTAAGGTAAAACGCGTGTTTGGAGATCTTTACGGTTTTAGAGAGTAGAATGTGTGTTCGGAGAGAGTGTGAAAGTGAGAGAGAAGATGAAAAAGGTTTTAAACCGAGGAGTACAATATATCGGTTTTTATAAAACCCTTTTTGGAAACTGTCAATTGACAGTTATGGAAAATTTTGAAAATTATATTCCGAAAATTTTGGGATTATAATTCTCAAATGGTATCAATCAAAGCAATTAATTTCAAACAATCATGATATTTAAAATATATGAGATATACATACCTTTTATAAGATGAGTTGCGCGCCAAAATCAGACACTTCAAATATATACTTGATCACATAAGTCATCAGATGCAAAGAGAGCTTATTCTACACATCTCAATAAAGTGGGTTAATGATGTTTAGTTTGTTTCTAATAAGCTCAAAACTTTTCTTCTCTAAAGGTTTTGTAAAAATGTCAACTAATTGCTGTTTAGTGTCTATAAATTGAACATTTATATCTCCTTTTAAAACATGATCACGGATAAAATTATGCTTAATATCAATATGCTTAGCTCTGGAATGCAGAATAGGATTTTTGGTCAGATTGATAGCGCTAGTATTGTCATACTTGATCTCCACAGTTGAGTCTTTGATATTGAAGTCTCTCAATTGTTGTTTCATCCAAAGAATTTGAGCACAGCAACTACCAAGTGAGACGTATTCTGCTTCTACCGTTAAAAGAGCTACAGTTTGTTGCTTCTTTGAATACCATGAAACAAGCATGTGTCCTAACAATTGACACGTTCCTGAAGTGCTCTTCCTGTCTATCTTGCAACCAGCATAATCAGCATGAGAATATCCAATAAGAGTAAAATTTGATCCCTTAGGATACCACAACCCAAGTGTAGGATTGGTGCTAACATATTTGATAATTCTTTTGACTGCAGTAAGATGAGATTCTTTTGATTCTGATTGAAATCTTGCACACAAACAAACACTGAACAGAATATCTGATCGTGAAGCAGTTAAATATAAGAGAGAACCAATCATGCTTCTATATAATTTTATATCTACTGGTTTTTTTTTTCATCCTTGTCTAATTTAATCGAATATGACATTGGAGTATTTGTCTTTTTGCAATTTACTAAACCAAACTTTTTCGTAATTTCCCCGGCATACTTTTCTTGACAAACAAAGGTGCCATTTTTGGTTTGTTTAATCTGTAATCCAAGGAAGAAAGTTAACTCACCCATCATGCTCATTTCAAATTCACTTTGCATCATTTTAGAGAAATTCTTACACAATTTTTCATCTGTAGAACCAAAAATGATATCGTCTACATAGATTTGAACAATTAAAATATATTTACCTTTTCTTTTGATGAATAGGGCAGTGTCTACAGTATCTTTTGTGAATCCATTTTGTTCCAGAAAGCTGCTCAATCTTTCGTACCAAGCACGTGGTGCTTGTTTGAGACCGTATAATGCGTTAAAATCTTGAAATTGGAAGATTCCAGATTTTATAGAATGTCCCTTTGTACATGTAACTATGCAATAGAAAACTGCACTTAGAGCCTCATATCAACACTAGTTTTAATAAGACACTAAAATCAAGCACATATCAGAACAACCATGAGGCAGCCTCGTATCAAAACTAGTTTTAATAAGACACTAAGATCAAACACATATTAGAACAGCCATGAGGCTCTCAGCGCAGCTATTTATTGCATAGTTACATGTACAAAGGGACATTCTATAAAATCCGGAATCGTCCAATTTCAAGATGTTGACGCTACTAATAAACAAACAAACCGAACACATTCAGCTTAAACTAGGACAAGAAATTAAAAGAAAAAAAAGATAGCATTGATGGTTCTTCTACTCTTTACCTAGCGACAACATAGGCTAGGGTTTTGACGGAAGCGTTTATCATCTTTCCTTGGAGGGTTTGCAATCGGTGGGGAACTCCATGACGATGAACCAATGCTCGTAGTCTTAGGTGCTGCATGAAAACCATTCTGGTTCTGTCCAGAATTGGTTTTTTGTTCCCAAAATCAGTTTTGGACCAGAAACCCGTTTGATAACGCAATTTCATTTTTCTATTTCCGGGCAATTTTTTGGGCACCTAAAAAAATTTAAATTTCACTAAAAGTGGGTGGCCACAGGTATTCTAAGCAATTCTGTGAAGTTTTGAAATTTTTGATTTCTTGATTTTTTTTGAAAAAATTCAACAAATGTCCTATTTTCCCGAAATCTAATTTTTTTTTATTTTCTTGACATTTTGATGATTTTTTCTGAAAATTTTCAATTTTTTGGGATTTTATGAATTTTTTTAAAGATTTTTATGAATTTTTCGGATTTTTTATTATTTTTATTCCATTTCTAAAAAAATAGATTTTTGTTCCTGGAAATAGAATTTTCTGTTTTTTATCAAACGGGTTTTTATTTCAGGAAATAGAAATTTTGTACTGTATCAAACGGGTTTCTGTTCTAGAAATAGAAATTTTTTGTCATTATCAAACGGGTTTTTTTTCTCAGAAACTCATCCAGGAACCAGAAATAGAAAAATCTATTTCTGGTTCAGGAACTCATTCCGGAACAGAATGGTTATCATTCGCTACCTTAGCCGTTGGGGAGGATCATCTCCTTGGGAGGACGGTTGCTGTAGCTGGGCGACGGCTCCTTTAGGAGTGAGTAGCGAGACTGGGGGTCTTGGGCGGGTCGGGGGGTCGGATCTGGGTCTTGGCAAGTGCGAGGCGTTAAGGAGAGGAATGGAGAGGTGAGAGCGAGACGATGAATGTGGAGTTGGGAAAGGAGCGTTCGAGCGAAGAGCTGGAGTTGAGGAAGGAGCGTTCGAGCAAGGAGGGAACAAAGTTGCGATTTTTGTCATTCTATTTTGTCACAAAGGAAAAGGTGAGTTGAAGGGGGAAAGAGAAAGTTGAGCAGCCATTTCAAATTTTTTTAATAAAGCTGCTATGCATTTATAATCCAAACGTGAGTCGATCTGACTGGATAACTGCGCGGCTGACGTGGCGCTTAGATATCACTGGATATTTTCTCCCTATAATGACAATATAACAACCTCAAAAATCAGTTCCCAACTTTCTGATTCCATACAAACAAAATATATCATATCCTGCTTGAAAAATGAATTTTTCAAACCCAATTGTGCTTGGATACAAAATTTAACTAAAACCCAATATTACATCATCTATTCACCGAACTAATCTAAAATCCTGATATATCCATTATCTTTCGAAAAAAGTTAAGATCAAGACGGGGCCTTGGCATCATGCCTCATGCAAAACGGGTTTTAATCTTAAATATTCTAAAAAAATCACGAAAATTAACAGAAGATACTTTGGTTCTTAATCAAACACCATACCAAAAATCAGATCAGAATGAGTTCAGGGTTTGGCCTTCACTTAATGCAATTCTTCTTTTGGCACAAAAATTTTCCGTTTGATGAGTCAATTAATCCTCTATAGTCCCAACTCGAAAAAAGTGGGGGGAACCAATCCCACTAAAGCACATTGAAGAAAATGATTCCATCATTATGAATGATTTTAAATTATTTCAAAATTATTTTACGCGAGCCATGACCAGACTTGCAAGTAAATTACGTACCTGAAATTATAATTAGAAATTTAACTGCGACGATCGATATTTTCATTTTAATTACTAAATCACCTACCTCTTGTATCCTGCACAAAATGAGTATCTCTTTAAGACTTTAAGTTCCATTAATAGAACATTTCTAATAAATTTGCATTAATTTTTTGTTTAATTTTTCTCATTTTGTGAGTTCGAAGTTCTCATGAATAAAGCACTTGATTATATTGCTGAAGCTCGGTATTTCCAAGGGCAAAAATTACCATAGAAAGAAGAAATCAAGCGCTTCAATTGAGAGAATTTTTTTTTTTTTTATAAAGAGGCCAAAAAAGAAATTAATCAAAATCAAAATGGCGTCGCCCGGACTCGAACCGGAGACCTTCAGTGTGTTAGACTGACGTGATAACCAACTACACCACGACACCTCTTGCTCTTCATTTCTGCATATTATTTACATCAACATATGTTTGATAGAGAGAGGGAGCGACATTCGAACTCCATGAGTTTGCATGGCCATGCATATCTCATTGCCCACCAACCCCCCTCTCCGTCTTCAGTTCATCAATCCAACCAGCTAATTAAGAGGAGGCATTGTTGATAGCAGAGAAAAGGGGGCAATGGGAGGGCGCAGCGTCCAAACGTGGACTTTGTCGCTGCGGCTAGTGTCGAGGATGATGATGACGGCGACGTCCCTCTTAATCACAAATGATATACGCGTGGCACCGTTCTTCTCAACCAAAGCCAAAATAACGCAAAATGGGAGATGACTCATACATAATAACTGTCAAGCGGGACAGTAATTGTTGGCAATTGAAAAATTTGGCAAAATTCTTATCAACTTAGTCCTATTCGAAATCCGCTAAGGAGTGTGTAACAACTCACCTGCCGAATCAACTAGCCCTGAAAATGGATGGCGCTGAAGCGCGCGACCTATACTCGGCCGTCAAGGCAAGTGCCAGGCCTTGATGAGTAGGAGGGCGCGGCGGTCGCTGCAAAACCTGGGGCGTGAGCCCGGGCGTGCTTCCTGAAGGAAGCCAACCAGGTGACAGGAAATTTATGAGGAAGATAGCCAACAAATTCTTCCTCAGTGGTCAAACTCTCTATAAGAAATCATTTGATTCAACCCTACTAAGACGTGTGGATGCTACAGAAGCTGAACATATCATGAAAGAAATTCATGAAGGTGAATGTGGACCGCACATGAATGGACATCTTATAGCCCGAAAGATTATGAGGTTAGGATATTATTGGATGACAATGGAAATAGATTGCATCCAACATGTGAGATGTTACCATCAATGTCAAGTTTATGGAGATAGAATTAATGCACCGCCAAATGAGCTACATCAAATGTTCGAGCCATGGCCATTTTCAATGTGGGGCATTGATATGATTGGTCCAATCAACCCCAAGGCCTCAAATGGGCACCGGTTTATCCTGGTTGCTATTGACTATTTCACCAAATGGATTGAAGCAAACTCCTACACGAATGTTACTGTTAAGAATGTTGCAAGATTCATTAGGCGGGACATTATTGCTAGGTATGGGGTTCCAGAAGCAATAATTACGGACAATGGCTTAAATCTAAACAACAAGATTGTGGACAATTTACTCGAACACTTCCACATCCGACGTATGAACTCATCCCCATATCGTCCACAAATGAATAGAGCAGTTAAAGCGGTAAATAAGAATATCAAGAAGATATTGGCCAAGATAGCTGAAAATTATCGTGATTGGCACGAAAGGTTACTGTATACTCTGATAGCATACCGAACTTCAATTCGAACATTAACTGGAGCAACCCTGTTTTTTTTTGGTTGATGGAATGGAAGCAGTGCTACCTGTTGAAGTAGAAATTCCTTCATTAAGGATACTATCTCAATTGAAGCTTTCAGAAGCTGAGTGGATTTAACAAAGATATAAACAACTCAACATGATCGATGAAAACAGATTAAGAGCTATATGCCATGGACAAGCCTATCAGAGAAGAGTGGCTAAATCATTTAACCAAAAAGTGAAACCAAGGCATTTCAAAACAGAAGATTTAGTAGTGAAGAAAGTCATCTTCAACAATTCAGATCCTCGTGGCAAATTCACTCCGAATTATGAGGGTCCATACATTATCAAGAAAGTTCTTCCTGGAGGAGCATTGATTCTTATAGATATGGCAGGAACAGAATTGGCCTATCCTGTAAATATAGATATTGTCAAGATTTTCTACCCATGAAATGAAGGCGAACATTCAAGAAAAGATTCGGGTCACTTTAGAACATGTGCATATCATGCATATCATGCATACCATGCATTTCATAAATATGTTTATCTGTTGTGCAGAAGAAAGCAAAAGGAGACCGAACTAATCGATGGTTTTAGAATTCCCAATAAAGTAGTCAAATAATAGAGGAAAGTATAACTTCCAATTCTATTTTCCGTTGATATTCCCTAATGTACTTTTCTTTTTATCATCTCCAGGGAGACAAAGAAAAGGGAGCAACAAAAAGAAGAATTCCTAGTGGAACCAAAGCAAAAACACGCAAACAAGAGAGATCTTGATAAGTTGATCAGACAAGTATCCTTAAATTATAAGTGCATGTGTTAAAAAAGTTGCCTTTCTAAGAGAAAATCGAACTTTTTCTTCCCCAACGGAATGACACTAAGATCGAGCAAAACAAAACAGATTGTTTTGAAAAGAAAATACCTCGAAACATTTTAAATCAAAAGTTTGAAACACGCTTTCTTTGAGAATGTATTAAGTATCAAAATTCATTAAAAAATGGATAATTTGACAAAAAGGCTTTAAAAAATTTCAAAGAAAAAGTTTAGATCAAATCGAATGGAAAGACCTTCAAATGATGAAAGGTAAGCCATATCCAAACATGTCCCATATACACTCAAAGTCAAAATGGAGAAGTGAGTGAGAAAAACTCATCCGAAGGAAATAAGGAATGTTCGCAATGATTACGTGGATTGAAATGATGAAGGGCAGTCATTTCACTATTCCAAACATATGCTTACCCCTTCCAAACCAAATTTGAGGCGAAATAGTGGAGAAGTTTCTTCAAAACAACCCTATTAAGAACTACCCCACATTGGAGCAAACTAGGAGGTTTATGATTGACAGTTATGGAGAATAGGATCAAGAAAGATATTATTGCATACTCTTGCATCAATCTTTCTGTGATAACTTCAGATAAAGTCATATGAAAGCTCAAGATATCTCGAGAGGAAGAAGAGCATTTCATTTCTTATACCCAAACACATTACCTTTGGCAAAGTCTAATTGAGCATGAATATTCATTTCAGAAACCTAAATTAGTGATCATCTCTTCACACTGGAGCATGAGCATATGATCTACTTTAATAGATAAGAAACAAAAGGGCATGACACAGAGTCCTTAGAATTCAAAAAGGTCAAAGGCAAAGAATCAGGAGCTTGAAAAAGCAATGTGCCTGGTAAAAGCAAGGCCAAATGCCCAAGAAAAATGAAAAGGAAAAAGAGTTCAAAAGAAAGCTCAAAATGACGAAAAAAGGCATGATAAAGCAAAATCAAGATCATAAGAGATCATAGATCACAACAAGTGAGAATGAGCAAAAGAAAAGAGATTGTAATGAATATCTAGGGGACTATAATGTTCATAAAAGAAAGATCCCTAGTGAACAAAAGAGGAAAAGGGTGGTGATGCCAATAAGATCACCAATTTCATAAAAACCGTGAATTCAAATAAATGAGCCTTTGGAGCCTACCCAATACCAACAATACAACCTCTTCCCAAAGATTCTTCAGATTGGGATGTTGAGAATAGAAACATGACTTTATGACAAGAAGTCATCACTCAAAGAAGTGTATGCAATAGTGTCCTGTCTTGTCCTCGAAGTTCTTAACTTGTAGACTCGAGGTCAGATATGATGAAATCCTTTTTCTTGGCCTCAAAATGCCTATTCTTTGAATAGCCATTGACTGAGCCAATATTACAACCTTTTGAAAGACCTTATCGGATCAATTGGATTGTATATATTGCGAACATCTCTGAACACCTAAGGATTGTTTAAGAGAGATAAAATTGAGGGATATCAGATAAGTCCCATTTCAATCAGATGAAGAAAAGACCAAGCTCATAGATTGAAACAAATCGTTTCTAATGAAGGTCTTTCAAACGATCATTTCAAGCATTTCTTGAAAGATTGCAAGCATTTTGTTCAAATAATTCCTCGAAAAGGAAATTTGATTGTATGAAATGCATTAATGCAAAGAATGCATGTTTACAAACCAGGTTTCAAAGTTTTTGATCAACTTAAAACCAAGTTTTCAAACAGCTTGTGGTAAGCTCAAAAAAACCACACTTCAAACAGTTTTGATTAATTTCAAAACTATATTTCAAAATAGTTTTTGTTCAACTAAAAATCATATAAAGGTTAGTGAAACCTCAAAAATCACATAACTCATGGTCAAGGCATTCATTGTTTGAAGTCTTCCCAAAGTCCTACAGGCGAGGAGCCCTTAGGCAAATCAAAGTCCTACAGGCGAGAAGCCCCTAGGCAAATTCAAGTCCTAATAGTGAGGAACCGCTAGGCAAATTCAAGTCCTACACGCGAGGAACCCCTAGGCAAATTCAAAAGTCCTACAGGCGAGGAGCCCCTAGGCAAATTTAAGTCCTACTGGTGAGGAACCACTAGGCATATTCAAGTCCTACAGGCGAGGAGCCCCTAGGCAAATTCAAATCCTACAGACAAGGAGCCCCTAGGCAAATTCAAAGTCCTACATGAGAGGAGCCCCTAGGCAAATTCAAGTCCTACATGCGAGGAGCCCCTAGGCAAATTTAAGTTCTACTGGTAAGGAACCACTAGGCAAATCCAAAGTCCTACTAACGAGGACCCCCTAGGCAAATTCAAGTCCTACAGGCGAAGAGCCCCTAGGCAAATTCAAGTTCTACTGGTGAGGAACCACTGGGCAAATCCAAAGTCCTACTGATGAGGAACCACTAGGCAAATTCAAGTCCTATAGGCGAGGAGCCCCTATGCAAATTCAAATCCTATAAGCGAGGAACCCCTGGTCAATTTCTAAAATCTTCAGGCGAGGAGCCTCAGGTGTTCATGGTTCGTGGGTTCGTCCTTAAACCACGAAATCTGAATAATCATCATAATCATCACCACCATCAATTCATACCCTTGGATAAGCAACAAAAAGACGCTCACAAACAGGTAAGTTTCTCTCTCTCAATCATTAAGAACCTTTCAAAATGTATTCTTAAAAGAGAACCTTTGGATGAGATCACAAATTTCATAAGCAAGATCCCTAATCAATTATTGTGAAAATTCTATCTTATCTTGTTCATTGAGTCGACTAAAACTCAGGTGTCACCTTGTCTTTGAAATCAACCTCTAACAAGTCAATCTCAAAGAGGGGCAGCTGTTGGCACCTGATTTTTAGCTCATTTTTTTTTTCATATTTTCAAAAATCTCAAAATTAGGACTAGGAATCTTGGCCAAGCCTAGAAACCTACTTCTAAACCAAAAATAAATTTTTTAGTATTTTCTTGCATTTTTCCTTAATTTCTTTTAGTCAAAATAAGTGAGAAAATCAAGAAAAATAGCAAATGGAATTAGAAAATTCCATAAAAATAGTCATTAGACTTATTTTCAATCCAATTTCATTAATACATCATCAATTTTGAAAAATCTCAATCAGGTATGTGTTTTTCCTAAAATTGGGCAAAATCAAACCCAAATTGAACCAAAATGCAATTAAATCTTTTCTAGTCATTTTTAAGTCATAGTGTCTTCACAACAAATGATTCCGAGACCTTAAATTACATAATGGTCGGTCCAATTGCACAATTTGTCATAGAAATTAGAAATCCCCAAAATTCAATTGAAAATTAGGAATTTTGAGCCCAAATTGGGAATCATGCCCAATATGAAATTGTCGAACCATGAGACCACTGTTTCTAGGGTTAATCGATATGGGTAATTCATTTTTGGCATCAATTTTGCCTAATCAGTCATTTGGACATCAAATTAAACAAAATCCTATTAACCCGAATACAAAAATGTGAAAATCTTGGACATGATTATAACAAAAATTGGGGAAAATCATATATTTGGGTTTAAAATATGATGAGGAATTCAATTTTGGGTTTAAATCTGAAAAATTGGATTAAAATCGCGTCGAATTTGTGAATTTAGACCAACCCGGGTTTGTCGGGTCAGCCGGGTCAACCCGACCCGACCCGGGTCGATCACCTTCTTCACCCGGTTTACCCAGAATGCACAAAAAACCCAGAAAAAATAATTCGTGCTCGAGACTTTACCGACCTTCTCCGATCAAATTAGCACGTTTTAATCAAGTTGGCCAGCTGGAGATTCTCCAGCTGGCGCCGGGGAACCGATCGAAAGTCAGTTCTAACGATCTTTAGGCAGGAAAAATGAATGAACAAAAAGCTAAAAAAAAACTGAATGAAAGGGAGGAAGGTATTCGACAAAATTCCAGAGAGAAAAAGAGAGAGAGAAGGATCGCGAGAAGGAGAGAGAGAGCGAACGATGTGAGTTGAGGCTCCTTGAATTGAGTGATCGGCGCTTTTCCGGCCAAAAAGCACCAGCAAATTGGCTCAAGTGGTGAACCTTCTCACCTGAGACCACCAGCGAGCAACTGATCACCATAGCCTGAAACTTCAGACCAGCCAGCACATCCAGAGGTGTTCAAGCTAATATGAGATCATCGGTTCAAAGTACAAGTGTCAGGGAACATATTTGAAGACTCTGATCAGCCTAGAGTACTCTCATCATTCTGAATACAGAGTTGTACAGACAAACTCTTTCAAAGCACCAGAAGAAGCCGTGCAGTGAAGCATGGTCATGGGAAAAGGCTCTCATTAAGGTGGGCAAGATAAAGGGATGGAACTGGAACAAAGATGAAAGGTAAATGTCCTAGAACTTTTCTAATTGTCATATGTAGATTTCCTTTTCCTCCCTATTCCGTGTAATTGCGGTATTGCTGGTGAAAACATAGTTTATTCTATTATATTAGTGTTTCATTCTTTTCATTGTTCTCCCATTTTCTAAATATCTTTTATTTTCACGGTAATTAAGGATAAAAGACAGATTTTCTTCAAAAATTGAGATACGAATATATTTTAATCACGTAAAATTCATATATATTGCACATGCTGATGACAAAATTAATAGAATAGCGTAACAAAATAAAAGTGCAGAAAATATAGCGTAACAGTTTAAGGTTCTTGAGTAAATGTGTACTACTGGAAATTTAAGAGGATTTTGTGTAGTTTCCTCCGATATCTTTCATCCCCATTTATATGGCGGTGTGATTTTTAACTTTCGATTTCATAAGCATTGAAGAAAAATATAGAAGTATAAGGGCCAGTGTATATGTAAGGAATATTAGAATGAAACGATTACTTAAAAAAGTGAAAAGCTCTGTTCTCTCATGAATATCGGCACTGTCGCGGTGATCGCTCCTAGCAGCTCCACCAAGTCGCTAGCTAGCTACCACAGCAGCTCTCCATCAGTCGCCGCCACTTCTTCGTCACTAGCCCGACACCAAGCCACCAGAAGCCGCCGCCGAGCCATCCGGCCCCCACCCTTTCTTTCTTTCACTCACTGGCAGGTTGGATTCGGGCTCGGGATGTCGGGTCTCTGATGTCACCGAGCTCATATCCGGCGTTGCCGTGCTTGGGCTACCCCAAATCTGGTGTCAGCGAAGGCCCGCAAAGCCATCCCTAGTGGTCGCAAGGCCACGACCCACGGGACTTGAAGGATTGAGGAAAGGCCGAGATGGGTGGGTCGACGGGGCGCGACGGCACTGGAACATGACGGTGATGGCCCTGGGAGGTGAGATGTCAACGGCGGCGTGGTAGTGGCAGGGGCTGATGGTGATGGTGACTTAAATTGGGGGAGCGGAGACAGATTGGGAAAAATCCGGATTGTTTTAGCGTCTAGATTAGTTTGCGTAATTTCTGCAAATTGTAAGGGCAATTGAGTCACTTAGGGAGTAGTTTTGCAATATAAAATATATTCCTAACATGGTTGTTAAGTTGTTGCAGCCAAGCAGATCTGATAAAATCTGTAATTGAAATTGTATTGGATAAGCTGAATGTCGGATATAAAAGGATTGTGTCTGAAGATCTAGTTGGAGTTGATGATCATGTAGAAGCTATAATCAAAAAGTTGGATGTGGGATCTAATAGCGTGCAATTTCTCGGAATCCACGGAATGGGTGGGATTGGCAAGACAACGCTTGCCAAGGTCATCTTCAACCGGCTGTCTTCTCACTTCAAAGACTGCAATTTCCTTTATGATGTCCGAGAGTTGTCACAACGGCATGGTCCGGTATATTTGCAAAAAGAGTTGCTATCCAAGTTCCTTGATTCATGTTCTATCGTCGATCGAATTCATGACGTGGATGATGGGATCAAGATGATTAAGAGAGTTCTTGGCAATAAAAAAGTTCTCATTGTTTTGGATGACGTGGATGAGAAAGAGCAACTCGAAAGTCTAGCGAAAGAAGGTGATTGGTTCGGTTCCGGTAGTAGGATTATCATAACTACTAGGGACCAAAGTGTCCTAAGGATTGAGGGAGAAGCAACAAGTGAAGGCCCAACAAAAAAGTCTGCAAAAGTTTCGGATTACGAAGTAGAAGAAATGGAATTTGATCATGCTCTTAAGCTGTTCAGTAGGCATGCCTTTAGAAGAGACTTTCCGCCGGATCAATATGTCTCCCTTTCAAAAGAAGTTGTCTCCACTTTGGGAATGCTTCCTTTTGCCCTTGAGGTTACAGGTTCATCCCTTAACAATGAACCCCAAGAATTCTGGGAAGCCACACTGAAGAAGCTAAAGGATGCTCCTCCCAATAAAGTCCAAAGTAAATTGATGATATCTTATGATAAGTTAGATAATGAACAAAAGCAAGTGTTTTTGGATATAGCTTGTTTTTTTGTTAATAAGGATAAAACATATCCTTTCTACATGTGGGATGCCTGTGGATACCACCCACAGGTTGCCATTAAGGTCCTCTTTCTCAAGTCCTTGATAAAAATTAAAGATGACGACACTTTTTGGATGCATGACCAAGTGCGGGATCTCGGAAGGAAAATTGTCCATGAAGAGAATTTTGATAATCCTTGCAAGCGCAGCCGAGTGTGGAATCACACGGGAGCCCAGAGAATTTTGACGCAGAAAAAGGTATAGAAAGGGAACAATAATTTATTTTCCTGTGATTTTGTTGTAGATTATTCTTGCAAAAGGAAAAGTTAATTGCTATTAGCGCTTGAAATTGTTTGCTTTTGACCTTCACATGTGGACTTCCTGCTGTTTCCGTTGTCAGGGAAGTAGTAAAATAGTAGCACTGTCACTTGGATATTGTCAAGACATTATTCTAAAGCGTGACGAATTTGCCGGTTTACAAAACCTAAGGTTCTTTCAAGGGAATGGGGTGTCACTTGTTGGAGACTTCAATAATCTTCTCTCCCGTTTAAGATGGCTTTCTTGCCAATTTAGCCATCCCGACTTTGAGACAATAAACTTTCATCCGATTGATCTAGTCGTTCTTAACCTTTCATACAGCAGTATTTCAGAGGAAAGGATTGGTTGGATCAGAGTATGTTATGAGTCCCACTCTTTGTATTCGTAAATCATTTCTTTTCATTTTTTTTTCGTAGGTCGTTACTGAATAAGTATTATATCAAATTATTTTGCAGGCGGCAAGGAAACTAAAAGTACTAGATCTCAGCTACTGCAGAAACTTAACGAGAACACCTGATTTATCTACGTTGGTGTCCTTGGAGAGATTGATTCTTCGAAAGTGTAGCAACTTAATTGAAATTAACCCATCCATTGGTAATTTAAAGCTCCTAACCGTTTTGAACTTGGATGGATGTGATTCTCTTCGAGAGTTGCCTAAAGAAATAGGATGTCTACAAGCTTTGACAGAGATTGTCATGCCTCCTATGCCAATTGAATTCGAACTTCCGCAGACATTTGGTAATCTAAAGTCATTGTTGACCTTTGATTTATCAAGAATGGGGATTGGCAAACTCCCATGCTCGATCGGAGGGATGGTGAAACTTAGGCGGTTGAATTTATCCATGTGTCAGAATATAATGGATCTTCCAGACTCGATTTGGGAATTAAAATCATTAATCGAGTTGGATTTGTCAAGTACTGGTATTAGTTACCTACCCGATTCGATCGGCAATCTTAAGCAACTGACAATACTTAGGATGAGAGACATAGTGTTGATAACAAAATTACCAAGTGCAGTCTGGCTGTTGGAGAAGCTTGAAGTGTTAGACGCTAATGAATGTTGGAGCTTGACTGGCGAAATTCCTGAAGATATTGGGAGACTGTCCTGTTTGAGGATCTTACACTTGTTATGGACTGAAATATCTGGATTACCCACCACTGTGAGTCGCCTCTCTAATCTCCAGGAACTGAAGTTCTGTGGACGTTATGGGCATAGACATATATCGGAGCTTCCTCCAAGTTTGACTTGTCTGATATGGAGCATTGATCTTCCCACTAGCATCGGTACCCTATCTCAACTGAAAAAACTAACATTGGAAGCTCAAAACGTGCGATTCCTCCCCCGGCTCCCATCTAGTTTAAGAGAGTTACGACTTCGGTTTCTGAAGACCACTCAATCGCCTGATTTTTCCAATTTGAAAAACTTGTCAACCTTGGAATTCCATAGTTGTTCAATACCGGAATTCTCCGGAATAATTGATGCGGAGTTGGAGAAACTCAATATGGAGGGTTGCACGTTTACAGGACTGGACAAACTGTTTGAGTTGGAAATGAAGAGATTGACATCTTTAACGTGGCGTTGGTGTGAGTTCCCCCCAAAAGTTATGGATCTGTCGCGTATGAAGAATCTGCAAGAGGTATATCTGTATTCTTGCAAGTTTTTAGTCGAGATTCGCAGCCTTGAAGAATTGGGATCCCTTTCCACCCTCGGTGTCTTGTATTGCGATTCAAAGTGATTGTCCGTGAAGTGTTATACTGTACACTGTATAATAATTTTGGCACTTTTAGCAGCCCATCGTCATATGATCCATTCCTTCATGTGAAGCCTTTTTTTTTTGTGAAAGTTTTTTCTCAAAATTATTCGTTGTCCAACTCATGGCATGCCTTCTGCTGAAACTTCTAATAAATCATGCAGTTGACAAAATTAAAGAAACACAAACAAGCACAAAAACTGAGAAAACATGGAACAAACTCATTGTAAACTGAGGGTCATGGCATACCTTATTCATACATATAGGTGAAACATTTCCGTGAAATGTCATCCTCAGCAACTGGTGGACACCTTCATACATACAAATACGAGCTATGTCGATCGAATTTAAGTGGAAAAATCCTATTAATTTCTTTTTGTTAGTCGGTGTACAGATGACCAACTAAAATCACCATATCTCAAATGGACTAAGAGGCTCTGTACGAAAAAGAGCAAAGGACCTAGAGAGAGAGAGAGAGAGCCTTGAAGGAAGGAAACGAAAAATAGGAATGTGCTTTGAAACAGAGTAAACCTTTCCTCAAGTTGCAGACACAAAACTTGTTACTTAAGGGGAATCCCCTCAGTGTGATTTGCAACAAAGCCCACCGAGTGGGATTTTGTGTTTCCCAGGAAACAGGAGAACTTGGGAAAATGTGTGGTGCGGACCGCGGCGTCATTCTTTCGAGGGTAATGGTGCAGTTAGATTCTTATTTTCCATAATATTAATCAAGGTAATCAATGTCAAAATTTTACTAAAATTTGCCATCCCCACAAGAAAAGGGAATCCAAATAAAAAGATGTCAAACTGTGATAAGAGGGTGCCACTAATGATTTAGTCATATGATCAAAATATATCACGATCAATTTTCTAAGCGAAGAAAAATCACAAAATCGTTTATTCATGTCAAGAGACCAAAATTGACATAATGAATTATATATATTGGGGACTGAGCTGTTCCGGGACTTTGCCTCAAAATCACAACTTCTTTTCTTTGTACGTGAAGGTGGTTAACAATATCACCTAAAGAGAGGTGAAAAGTGATTTGAAAATCTTTTGGCAAAATAGTGCAGAATTAATAGTGTCGCGACCGAACTCCCGAGCCCCTTTTTTTTAAACAACATGCAAAAAAAAAGGGGGGCTCGCCTGATACGTGCTAAGTCTAAGTTCAGGACTTAACTCGGGCTCTCCCAAGCCCATACCATATCGCGACTTAGGGTTTAAGTTTTTAACATGCAAGTGGTTTATATCAAGGAGTCGCCACTAATCGATTTGGGGTAGGTCGATTAGAAACCCAAATAGGGTGATGGGAGAGTCACCCTATTCCTACGAACCAGAGATTAACTGAATTCGGGGACTTGGTTACACTAGTTAGATAACTAATGCCCTTTCGGTATCATTTTACCCTGTTCATTTTTGAAAACATTTGTCAGGCAATTTGGATTGATTTTAGGACCTTTCTCCTAACATGTGAGGTGATCAAGCGAGTGCATAATCAGAAACGATTAGCAGTCAGGAACACAACAATTCATGCAGCCTAAGGTTCTAACTTTAACTAAGTCAGATGACATTCAAAACACAACTCATGCGATTGTATTAAAAACATGCATAATAATACGGCGATAATAAAAATAACATGCAGAATATTAACGCGCAATCTCAGGCTTGTCCAATTTAAATAAGACAATAATATGCATAATAATACAGCAATAAATTAAAAACTTAGATATAACATAAATTTTTTTTATAAAAAAAATAATAATAATACAAAAAAAATTAAATTTTAATTTTTAAAAAAAAAATTTTAACTTTTTTTTAAATAAAATAAAATAAAAATATAATATTAACCGGGTCGGGTCAGATCCGACCCGGGTCAACGGATCCGACCCGGGCGGATCGGTCAATCCGGGTCGGTCGGAACCGACCCGGGTCAACGGATCCGACCCGGGTTGGAACTGTTAATCCGGGTCAGTCGGAACCGACCCGAGTCAACGGATTCGACCCGGCCGTTGACCCGGGTCGAATCTGTTGATTCGGGTTGAATCCGACCCGAACAAACAGACCCGCGGGGAGGGCGGCGCCGGCGAGGCCAAAATTGGCCGTCCGCCGGCTGACCCAGGCCAACGCCGCCCCCAAGTCGCCCGACTAGGACCGCCTGTGGGCTGTGCCACTCACCTGAGCCGCCGTCGGACCACCGTTCGCCGGCCGGCAATGAAACAAAAACCGGCGTGGTTGAGGCATTTCGTCGAACGCCTGGCGGGCGCGTGGAAAAACAGGGGATTCCGGCCTCCTCCGGCGATCCGGTCGACTCCGGCGGCTTGGGTTCACCTCCGACGGCGACTAGGGATCGGGACCGACGACGGTATGGGCCGGGATTCGCGCGAAACGGCCGGCGCGAGTCCCGGCCAAACCGAGCCAAAAATCAGGGAAAAACAGGGGAGCTTCGCGGCCGAGGGGGGCTCACCGGTCGACGGCGCGTCTGGGCGGCTTCCGGCTAGTCTGGCGGCGTCGACGACCGTTGCTGGTTCTTCTTTAGCTCCGGCTGGTTCTCGGCTCCCTCTCTCTCCCTCTATTCTCTCTTTTGTCTCTCTCAGTCTCTCTCTGTGTTTCGCCGACCGGGGGCTCTCTCTCTCTCACTGTGTCACCGCCGTCGGCTCGGCAGCGGGGATGGATGGCTGAGGCGCAGTGCGAGCACGGCAGTCGCCGGAAGAGCTCTCGGTCTCTCTGTCTTGCTCAGTCTCTCTTTCTCTCTGTCTTTTTTTTTTTTAGAAACGGCCGACCGTCTCTCTCTCTCTCTTTCTGTCTTTCATAGCCAACGACGACGAATCTGGGCCCGGCCGCGTCGGCGTGACGATGGCTTGACATTGTCTAATTTTTCCTTTTTATGTTTTTTTTCTTCTCTTCCCTCCGCCGGCCATAGCCGGGGCCGGCGGAGGTCGACGTCCTCAGGCGGAGGCCGCCCTTGCCTGGTTTGGGCGGGCGAGGGTGACCATTGCCAGATCCGGCGAGGGCCCCTCGCCCTCGCCCGCCCGATGCTAGCGAGGGCGGCCCTCTACTGGGCTGGGCGGGCGAGGGTGACCCTCGCCAGATCCGGCGAGGGCAACCCTCGCCCTCGCCCGCCCAGCCCAGGCGAGGGCGGTCCTCGTCCGACGCTTGACGAGGGCTGCGACTCCGCCGGCCCCGTCTACGGCCCGTGGTTTTGAATAAACATGCCCACAAGTTGGTAACAATTACTGTCCCGGTTATGGCGTACTAGATAGCCAAAATTTACCTATGACACCCTCCTTTGCCTCGCTTAAAGGTTCGGGCGAAGTTGGTATTAGCCCCTGTCTCGCCCTGCTAACCCGTCTCGATTATATAACTTAGACCATAATTTTATTTATTTCCGTATTTGAGAAAAAATAATAAAAATATGAAAACATTCCGTTAAGAACAACCTCTTCTTCTTACATGTCTTGCTTTTATAGGAGATACAAGCTACAAAGTGCTCTTGGTAAGTAATATGGGACAATTGTTTTCCATGTTTTGCATTTTCACAATGTCCACTTCAACTATTTTGAGAAGTTTAGAGCTTGTTTGGCTCATTAAAACCAACCCCATGAAATCATTTTGTCAATATATCTACTAATAATAACTACAATGAAAATAAATGCCAAAATTTTTCATTTGATAGATGTGGCGCCCACTACCCATTAAAGTAAAATCCGCCCAGGCCACGGCCTTGGCCCACCTAAGCGGGCGGGCAAGGGACCGTGATCTCTGTGCCGCCCCGCCCCATGTCCATCTCTAGCGTGTCTTCTTACACTACTTAACTTTTTTTTTTTTGGTCAGGACTCACACTACTTACTTAATACACTTAGAATATTTAACCTGGTAATATTTCGCTGATTATTAAATGCTAATCCCACAAAAGTAGAACCTGTTTAGTCATGGAGGAGTTGGAAGGCTCTTACGGGCCCAATAACCATGCTATTCTAATTCAAAGCAGCCAAAACGGGCCATTGGCCCATTTGTATATTGAAGCAATCTTCCTTATAATGCAAAAATAGCAAAAATGGGTTAGTAAAATGACCGTGTTTTTTCCACTCTTACTTTAACTAAAATACTCCTCAAAAAAATATTGTGACCATTTTATTCATAGTAGGTCCCACCTTTCAGCATCGTCTGCATTCTCTTAGTGTCCTTTTTCTTGGAATCTTCTTTTGCGGGTCCTATTTTCCTTTATCTTCACCCTTCTCTTTATCTCCCTCCTTTTACTTTCTTTTCTTTGATGTTTGAGATGATTTTTGCATCGTTTTTCATGGTGGGTGTTGGATAAATTGATTAAATTTGAAGTGTTGGTTAATGTTGAGTAATGTGGTAATTTTCCTTGTGATGGGTTTAGGTCAATGAAGTCTGAAGGTGTTTTTTTTCTTTTTCTTCTTTCATCTCTTTTTTATGTATGGGAAAAGTATGTATTGATTCATTCCTTGTTTACCGTTGAATCTGATTAAAGTTTATACTTTTGAGGATAATCTTTAGTGAGGCCTTTTGGCATTGCTGAGTTTCTCTCATTCTGATGATTATATTAGTTGAAGTTTTTGAAATTTAATGGGGGAGAGTGTTAAGAGTAAAGAGGGTCTTTTTCGATCCTAAAGAGTTTTGTTTTCACCAAGTGAAAAAAGGTTTATCATCCCATTAACTTATAATGATTGAACTTAGTGATTTCTTTGACCCCTGTTCAGATAGAGCATGCATTTGATTTTTTGAGTGAATTTTGAGTATTCTTTTCATTGAAAATTTCCCTAGATTGGTTTCCATTGACCTCTTTCTTTTTAGCAATCTGTTTGGCATAATGATTTCAAGATGCATATATTAGTTTAGTTATGGTTCGGACTCAGTAAATGAATAAGGGTTTTTATCAAATAAATTTCAGTTTTCTTCTCATTTCAGTAGGTTTATTAAAACTTTTTATCATTTTGTTTGCGATGATAATATCTTCCAATGAAATTATCAAAAGGAATTAATTTCACGGAGACTTGTTCGTCAGAATGCATCAATTTCAAGGTGAGTTCATTATGTCCGTTCCGCCGGTTCGATCCGTTCCGCCGGTTCGATCCGATCCGATCCGATCAGAACAGTTTATCCTCAGGAATCATGAATCGGACCAATTCCCACATAAAATCACCTCGAATCGGCAAGTCCAATATGGTTCTCAAGTTGAATCGGGACAATGTACATCCCAATTATTTATTGGTTTATACAAACCTAACAAGGCCAAAACTTTTGTGTCATAAGGGATCAAATTGTTGTCCCTCATATCTATTATATGTTTTATGTCCATTAGTTAAAAAACAAGAAACGCGGCTACCAATCTAGTAGGGAAGAATTTGGCAAATCTCTTCCCATTACTTCGCTTCATGTATAGTCAGACAGACATTGCAAATAGGTACCTCTTGTGAGAGAAAGAAAATTGTTGGACATAGCGGTGTCAAAAACCGAACCGAAACCGAAGTCGGAATCGAAACCGAACCGAATCGAACCCAAAATTCATGCATTTTCGATTCAGTTTCGATTTCGGTTCGGATAATAAGTAAAATAATTTGGTTAGTTGATAGTTCGGTTCGGTTCGGTTCGGTTAAGTTCGAATCGGATCTCGGTTTCTTTGCATTTTTTTTTTCTTTTCGCGTACACTCTCTCTCCTCACTCTCCTCTCACTCACTTTTCTCTCTCCTCTATCCCCTCTCTCTCTTCCTTTCTGCTTTATTCTCTCTCTTCCTGACCTCACGCGTGCCTCTCCACGCACTGGGGACCGGACAGAGGCCCGAATCGGAGAAGCTCCGCCGCTCGGCCCAGATCCCGGTATCGAGAACCCCGATTATGATGTTGTCCGCATAATCGGAATTCGGCCAGAGGCCGGTGCTCTCGGTGAGGCCGAGGAAGTGAGGGGTCCGGGTGGTGTGGAGGAGGTGGGTGCGGTCTGGGACGACAGAGAGGACCCCGGGGGCGCGGCGGAGGGCCTCGGCCTGGGGGGCTGTGAGGTGGGCGGAGAAGCTGTCGGCGGTGGCTCGGTAAGTGTAGAGGATATGGGAAGGAGGGTCTAAGGGTGGGAGGGAATGGAGGAGGGAGGAGTACAAGTGGTGGTGGGTGGAGAAGGGGGAGGGCTTGTGGGAGGATGAGGCATGGATGATGAAGGTCTGCTGGGGGCTGTGAGGTGATTGCTCTTGTGGGGTTGAGAGAGATGGAGAGATGAAGAGCAGGAGGATGAGGAAGAAGGTGGAGGAGTGAGAGAGATTATAGTTTGGGAAAGTGTCAGATGTTATGGCTCGCAAATTTGTGACACTTTCCTTTATCATGTTGGTTAAACTTTTTATACTAGCCTTCGCCGCTGCGCCCGCGGTCGAATCCGGTGAGAGCCATCGCTAGACCTGTCAAATGGGTGGGTCGGGTCAGGTTTGGATCGGGTCATAAATGGTCCAACCCAAACTGACCCATTAACCAGTTTATGACCCATTTATGCGCAATGCAATTTTCTTCACCCATACCCGACCCAACCCGTATTGCTAAAACACTTCCATATTTAACTCAATATAATTTTTTATGATTTAAAAAAATTATATTGCTAATTTGTGGACAATTTTTATAATTTTAAAAATTAATTTTTTAACTTTTTTCTTTTTCTTTCTTTTTTTTTTTCACAAATCCTGAAATGGATTTGAGTTTTAGTTTTGAATTAAATATAAATGAGATCTTCAAAAATTAACACCTGTTGTTTTTTTTTAGTCGGATAACACCCGTTTAATAATACATTATTTGATACAATATTTTTTAATTTTAATTGCCGATTATATAATTCTAGTACCCATAAAGAAGTGCACAAATATAAAATAATAAAGTCAATAATTATAATAATAAATTCATAAAATCAGGTTCTAGGTTCAAAAGCATATACATTATAGACCTATCAAATGGGTCCAAAATCCACTCATGTTTGCTTAAATGGGTCGATAATAGGTCATTCCTTTTTTTCAAATCAGCCATAATGGGTTTTAAAAATAAGAAGGCCAAAATATATGGGTCTTAAATGAGTATATTCTGAACCCATTTACAATCTAATTTCTTTTTGATAAAAGCCCGGCTCATGATCTCACTTCACGATCTTCTCTCCCTCTTCTTCGTTTATCGCTTCGATGAATCTAATTCGCAGCCACCTCCGCCGCTATTGCCGACTTCACGCCGTCCTTCTCCGGTGGCCGAGGTTCTGAATTTTAGTAACATTGAAAGGGAATTGGATATTTCGACAACTAAAAGACTGACACAGAAAAATAAACACAAATCATCTTTATTGGTTCAAGAGGAGACATAAAGACATATTTAAATACCCACTTGTTCTCCCGCCGCACCTCTTCCTCCTCCTGGTGTGAAGGCATTCTTGAATCCTTCATCCACTGCTAGATTATGGCCACCATGGTGATAGACTATGCAAGTTTTGCAATGATCAATCAAATATCAGAAAGGTGTCACAATGTCTACAATGTTAGGTGTTGTAGTACGGATAGAAACAAAGATTCTCACCCAACAGAGGAGGTAAAGAAATAATCTAGCCAAGCAAGAATTTATGATTTACATGAAGAAGAAAATAAGATTTCTAGATTTAGTAGTAAACCTACTCAATCAAATCTAGAGCTCCACCAATGATTGCGGTCTCATCATGAGTGAGTTCACCTCCCTTGCCAGCATTCAGAAATCAGAATCACAAATCGTGAATATGAAAAAGGAACCATGAGAAAATCAAGATGCAACTCCTTTCTTGAACCCATTTGCATGCAAGAATCTTGTGGAAAATTGTAGCTTTTCGTGTACCTCCTCATTATGACCCAACACCCAGTCTAGAACCTGAAAAGAAAAGCATTGACTCTGATTATAAGTCATAGCACCACCAAGTATACCAAGAATACATCATTATGAAGACAAGTGCATTAAATCATATGAGTAAACCAAAAGAATGAGATGAAAAAGGTACCTAATGCAAATAGTCTTGAAAGTCAATGATGAGAGACTCCTCATCCAATTCTTCCTCAGGCGGAACTCCAAATAACCAATCTCTAGTGCACAACTCGGCCTCTACGCTTTCAAGCAAAAGGGAACTACAATATTTATTTAAAATGCGTCCTTCAATGCTAAAGGCTGACTCTAAGGCAACGGTAGTGATAGGAATGCTCAATATATCGCGTGCCATGAGAGACAACTCGGGATACCGATGAGAATGAGTCTTCCAATAATCAAGTTCATTGAGATCCGCGTACTTCTTTCTATCAAGCCTATTCTCCTCCAAATACAAATTCAACTGTGACTTAGTAGATTGCGATCCAAAATGTTCACTCTCAAATAAATCATACTCATCAATGTCGTCCCCAATGTTCCCAATGTCCTCAATTGAAATGTTACCTCGACTAGTTGAAGAAGCAAAGTGATCATCTCTAGACATAGAGGTCACATATTCATCAAAAAGCATATACAGCTTTTAGAGTTTTAAAAATTAGCAGTCAGATGTTTAACATCACTGACTCGTTGGCCAAAATAACGTGTCGTATTCTCTTATGAAGGGTTTGTATATGACTCACATCTTCTTTAGCCAAAAAGGGCCTCGGCAAGTTCGTGACGGACCCGAAGAAGACATGCCAGATTTTGAAATCGGGCCTCGTCCTCAAGGGCCTCCTTGATCATCCCAAGGGTTAAGCATCGAGGGCAGCGCACAGTGCTAGGATTTAATACATTTATGTCTCGTTCCATTTATTTATTTTACGGGTTGATTTTCGTTAATCGTATTTCCCGCTCTTCAATTCACGTGTCGTTCTTTCCTTTGGTTGGCAAACGAGATAGCGTATTCAAAGTAAATCTCATATTCTCCTCCTGCTAATATTTGAAACAACTTGGTAGTTATCATTGGCCCCATGGGTTTCATTTCATGTAAACACCGTGATTGTTTACCTAGAAAAGTTGCACAGACAAGGCCATCAAACCCAATTTTGTCTTTTACCTTACATTAGTTTAGAAATTCTAAACTATAGAAGTCAACAGTAGAACCTCAATAAGCCAACGGCCTCACGTGTTGAATAAGAGCTGGCATTGCATGATCTATACAGATCATGCGAACTAAATTTATGTTTAGACTGTTGATCATATCAGCCCCACGATGAATACGAAGAGCTACTTCCATGTAGTCGGCCCAGGAAAAAAAAAGGATTAATTTAATTAATGGGATTAAAGAAGGGAAGAGCGTAGATAGATCTTGTTATATAACATATAAACATTTGCACAATATGATCACGACCTATTGATGAGACGTCACTTCTTTTTTAACTATGGTCGTCTTCAATTCGTGCTTTAAAATTATAAGTTAAAGGGCAGCCATTTCCATGTGCATCGAAGCCTTCTTCTTCGTCGTCCTTTGCAAGTTGCAAAATATTAAAATCCCACAGGATACGAAACGATGGAAGGTCGGTTGTATCTTTGGTCTTAAAAAATGATCATGTATATAATTATATAAAGTAAAGAGAATCTCCTTTTTTAACAAGATCACAATCTTTTTCTTCTAAAAATATTCTAACTTAGTAACTTTATAAATATTCTATCAACATTTAAATGTGCAAATTAACAATTTTATCTCATTTCCAACCTATTTCAATTTTAAAAATTTTTGAATCTTTTCTATCTTATAACAACCTTACAATAACAATTCAAACATGGAGATATTTTATTCATTCCATATACATGTGCACAGTTGCTTCATATTGTGTTAACAATTTCTTCCTGCAAAATCTTTCAATTGTTAAATTTTCACACACACGTTGCTTTTGCTAGTAATAATAATAACAAAGACATTAGCCTCTTCAATTGTCATTGAATCTTGCACAAAATTTTCAAGAATGTGTCAAATGGCTCAAGAAATAGTTTGCACTCGATTGTGGCGGTTCATGAAATCCCAATAATATCACAAAGGTCAAAACTGGAAATTTGGAATAAACAAAGACCGGAAAGTCTTTTTTAGATCAATCAATCTTTAATGCATAAAGAATAACCAATTAATCGATCTCGTATGTATTTTTATTTTTATTTTCGTAATGCTTAAAGTTTTCGCCTCCTAACCGTCCTCGAATCTCGCACAAAAAATTCATCATATGTGTGAAATAGCTCAAGAAGCAGTTTGCACTCGTTGTGGCGGTTCACGAAAGCCCAGTAACATGGCAAAGATCAAAACTAGAAATTTGGAATAAAACAAAAACCAAAAAGTCTTTTTTAGATCAATCAATATTCTATGCATAAAGAATACCCAATTAATCAGTCTCATTTGTATTTCTCTTTTTTCGTAATGCTCAAGTTTTCGCCTCCTAAGCGTCCTCGAATGTCGCACAAAAATTCAACGCATGTCGAAGTGACTCAAGAAATAGTTTGTCCTCGTCGTGACGGTTCATCAAAGCCCAATAACGTGGTCAAGGTCATAACTTGGAAACTTGGAATAAACAAAGGCCAAAAAAGACTTTTTTATATCAACTCATATTCTATTAATAAAAAATAATCAATTAATCAATCTCTTTGGTATTTCTCTATTTTCTTAATGATTAAAGATATTAGCCTCTTAATTATCTACTAATCTCGCATAAAAATATGGACATATGCATGAAGTGGCTCAAGAAAAAATTTGTCCTCATCGTGGCAGCTCACGAGAACCTAGTAACATGGGAAAGGTCAGAACTTGGAATAAACAAAGACCATAAAGTTTTTTTTTAGATCAATTCATACCCTAATCATAAAGAATAGCCTATCAATCAACCTTATTTGTAATTTTCCTTTTTTGAAAGCTCGGAGATACTCGCCCCTCAAAGGTCCTCGAATCTCCCACAAAAATTTCAACACATGTCAAGAAATAGTTTGTCCTCGTCGCAGTGGTTCATGAAAGCCCAATAACTTGGCGAAGGTTAGGCCTTGGAAACTAGGAATAAACAAAGACCAGAGAGTCTTTTTGTAGCTCCCCCGACAGTTATCATTGGCCTCATGGGATTCGTGTTCACACACCATGATTGTTTAGCTAGAAAAATTGCACAGACAAGGCCATCAAACCCAATTTTGTCTTTTACCTTACATTAGTTTAGAAATTCTAAACTATAGAAGTCAACAGTAGAGCCTCGATAAGCCAACAGCCTCACGTGTTGAATAAGAGCTGGCATTGCATGATCTATACAGATCATGCGAACTAAATTTATGTTTAGACTGTTGATCATATCAGCCCCACGATGAATACGAAGAGCTACTTCCATGTGGTCGGCCCGGGAAAAAAGGATTAATTTGTTTAATGGGATTAAAGAAGGGGAGAGCGTAGATAGATCTTGTTATATAACATATAAACATTTGCACAATATGATCACGACCTATTGATGAGACGTCACTTCTTTTTTAACTATGGTCGTCTTCAATTCGTGCTTTAAAATTATAAGTTAAAGGGCAGCCATTTCCATGTGCATCGAAGCTTTCTTCTTCGTCGTCCTTTGCAAGTTGCAAAATATTAAAATCCCCCGGGATATAGAAACGATGGAAGGTCAGTTGTATCTTTGGTCTTAAAAAATGATCATGTATATAATTATATAAAGTAAAGAGAATCTCCTTTTTTTTAACAAGATCACAATCTTTTTCTTCTAAAAATATTCTAACTTAGTAACTTTATAAATATTCTATCAACATTTAAATGTGCAAATTAACAATTTTATCTCATTTCCAACCTATTTCAATTTTAAAAATTTTTGAATCTTTTCTATCTTATAACAACCTTACAATAACAATTCAAACATGGAGATATTTTATGCATTCCATATACATGTGCACAGTTGCTTCATATTGTGTTAACAATTTCTTCCTGCAAAATCTTTCAATTGTTAAATTTTCACACACACGTTGCTTTTGCTAGTAATAATAATAACAAAGACATTAGCCTCTTCAATTGTCATTGAATCTTGCACAAAATTTTCAACAATGTGTCAAATGGCTCAAGAAATAGTTTGCACTCGATTGTGGCGGTTCATGAAATCCCAATAATATCACAAAGGTCAAAACTGGAAATTTGGAATAAACAAAGACCAGAAAGTCTTTTTTTAGATCAATCAATCTTTAATGCATAAAGAATAACCAATTAATCGATCTCGTATGTATTTTTATTTTTATTTTCGTAATGCTTAAAGTTTTCGCCTCCTAACTGTCCTCGAATCTCGCACAAAAAATTCATCATATGTGTGAAATAGCTCAAGAAGCAGTTTGCACTCGTTGTGGCGGTTCACGAAAGCCCAGTAACATGGCAAAGATCAAAACTAGAAATTTGGAATAAAACAAATACCAAAAAGTCTTTTTTTAGATCAATCAATATTCTATGCATAAAGAATACCCAATTAATCAGTCCCATTTGTATTTCTCTTTTTTCGTAATGCTCGAAGTTTTCGCCTCCAAACTATCCTCGAATGTCGCACAAAAATTCAACGCATGTCAGAAGTGGCTCAAGAAATAGTTTGTCCTCGTCGTGACGGTTCATGAAAGCCCAATAACGTGGTCAAGGTCATAACTTGGAAACTTGGAATAAACAAAGGCCAAAAAGTCTTTTTTTATATCAACTCATATTCTATTAATAAAAAATAATCAATTAATCAATCTCTTTGGTATTTCTCTATTTTCTTAATGATTAAAGATATTAGCCTCTTAATTATCTACCAATCTCGCATAAAAATATGGACATATGCATGAAGTGGCTCAAGAAAAAATTTGTCCTCATCGTGGCAGCTCACGAGAACCTAGTAACATGGGAAAGGTCAGAACTTGGAATAAACAAAGACCATAAAGTCTTTTTTTAGATCAGTTCATACCCTAATCATAAAGAATAGCCTATCAATCAACCTTATTTGTAATTTTCCTTTTTTGAAAGCTCGGAGATACTCGCCCCTCAACGGTCCTCGAATCTCCCACAAAAATTTCAACACATGTCAAGAAATAGTTTGTCCTCGTCGCAGTGGTTCATGAAAGCCCAATAACTTGGCGAAGGTTAGGCCTTGGAAACTAGGAATAAACAAAGACCAGAGAGTCTTTTTGTAGCTCCCCCGACAGTTATCATTGGCCTCATGGGATTCGTGTTCACACACCATGATTGTTTAGCTAGAAAAATTGCACAGACAAGGCCATCAAACCCAATTTTGTCTTTTACCTTACATTAGTTTAGAAATTCTAAACTATAGAAGTCAACAGTAGAGCCTCGATAAGCCAACAGCCTCACGTGTTGAATAAGAGCTGGCATTGCATGATCTATACAGATCATGCGAACTAAATTTATGTTTAGACTGTTGATCATATCAGCCCCACAATGAATACGAAGAGCTACTTCCATGTGGTCGGCCCGGGAAAAAAGGATTAATTTGTTTGATGGGGGTTAAAGAAGACGTGAGGTGGATCGATCTGCAGAAATTTTCTTATACTACCTGT